AAGAAGAAGCCGCTTTGAAATCGACACATGTGGCGATAGGACTCGGAGTCTCCGTAAATGATTTTCTGCCAAGCTCGAGAAGGAAAAATGTTCAGATCGAGCGACATTGTGGAGCGCACAATCGACCATGCGCCGCTCACCTTTTCCTTCATTTGCTTGCGAGTGTCTGCTGCTTTGTTTCGATCGATCCATTCTGGATAGCCCCAATGCTTCTTCTCTACAAATCCGAAGCGAACTTCGGATCTGGTCATCTGCTTGACTCCCTTTTTGAAATCGTCTGTGAATTCCTCGTCTGCGCGAGCGAGCGTCATTGTCGGATCAGCTCACGGCCTTACTCTTCCTCATTTGAACTTGCTCGCGCACTTACTATTCAAAAAGATCCAAGGATAGCCGTACTTGCGGTTGAAGCGATCTTCCACTGCGATACATGCGAGAGAGAATGGTGAGTTCGGTAGGGCCCCTTGCAAAAGCGCGCCTCTACTTCACCAGTTGACGCTTTGCGAGCCCTTTTTGCGGCCACATACCAAGCCTCTTGACACAGACTCACCATCTCGCATGCTTTCCCTCATCGACGCCAACTCTCCGTTGCGCACCAGCACGATGAATCCAGCCTTTGCGCGAGGGGCCTGATTGGCCTGAGAAGGGATGAAGCTTGGCGGGTAGAGGTTCCCATCGTCGCCCTTTGTGGCCCATTGCTTGAGCTCCTCAGGAGTTTGGGGAATACCAGGTGTATGCGTGTACATATCCTTCACTGCCGAATCGACAGATGGGACGCCAGAGCCTCCGGCATATTCACCCGCTGCTGAAGCTCCGGGTCGCTGCCATGGTCGGGGTATGCTGCCCCATTGTTGTCGCACCGTCTCCACACCTGTCGGATCCACGGACAGCCATGTGGTCAGGGAGAGTAGCAGAAGGACCAAGGCTGCCAAGAGAATCAATCGCTGTGGCCTCCTGGCCAGACCCTCGAGAGGACCGAGACCCGCCATGATGACCTGACTAGAATCTGTTGGAGCGTCGCCTGCTATTGATTGCTGGAGAGCGAGATGAGTTGTGCTTTGAAGATGCGATGCCGCGCCTGAATGTGATGGTTGGGAAGCGTGGGGCAGTGAAACTGGACGATGCTGCGTGGCGTAATGGCGAATGTGTTGGAAAATAAAGATTGCGGTCAAGCGTGGCTGGAGCAATTTGGCGTGTGCGCATTCAGCAGCAGTCAGGAGATACGAGTGTTTCGTCAGTAGTAGTAGTGAGTGCGAGGATGTTTTGACAGGCATTATGGCGTTGACATGGCCAGCCAAACGACCAACGCACCGACCGACCGACTGATTGACCGAAT